TGAAAGAAGCACTTTCTGTTTTATTTCTTGTTCTTCTTGTTTCGATTTCAGAAGCAGCAGTAACGAAACCAAATTTTGAAAAATTTCTTGGATGTCTTCGCTATCAGACTAATCTAGAGAATCCAATCGCCGATGCCATCTTCACTGCCGATAACACCACCACCTTCTTGTCTTCTTACGTCTCCTACACGAAAAACAAGAGGTTCACGAGCCCTAACTACAAAAAATTGATGGCCACTGTAGCGGCAAAACATGTATCTCATGTTCAGGCCACGGTGGTCTGTGCAAAGTCCAACGGTATCCAAATCCATATCCGAAGCGGCGGTCATGACTACGAGGGCCTTTCTTACATGTCGTCTGTGCCATTTGTTATTCTCGATATGTACAATCTTAGGTCAATCACTGTTGACGTGTCAAGCAAGAAAGCATGGATTCAAGCTGGTGCAACCTTGGGAGAGCTCTACACAAAGGTCAATGACGCGAGCAAAACGCTAGCGTTTCCGGCCGGAGTTTGCGCTACGGTAGGAGCTGGAGGACACATAAGCGGTGGAGGGTACGGAAATCTGATGAGAAAGTACGGAATCACTGTGGATCATGTCGTTGATGCTCAATTAGTTGATGTCAACGGCAAACTCTTAAATCGAGCTACGATGGGAGAAGATCTATTTTGGGCGATTCGTGGCGGTGGGGGAGGGAGTTTCGGAGTTATCATCTCTTGGAAAGTCAACCTCGTCGAGGTTCCAAAGATTCTAACAGTGTTTAAGGTTAACAAAACATTGGAAGAAGGAGGCACTGATGTTCTATACAAGTGGCAGCTTGTGTCTACCAAATTTCCTGAAAGTCTTTTTGTGAGAGCAATGCCTCAAGTCGCAAATGGAACAAAGCGCGGGGAGAGAACCATCGCGGTTGTATTTTACGGTCAGTTCTTGGGTCAAACCAATGAGCTAATGGCGATAATGAACGAGAACTTGCCTGAATTAGGGCTCAAACGTGAAGATTGTCACGAAATGAGCTGGCTTAACACGACCTTGTTTTGGTCCGATTACCCGGCCGGTACACCGGCGAGCATTCTTCTAGAAAGGCCGTCGAGTCCAGGAGAATTCTTCAAAAGCAAATCGGATTATGTCAAAAAACCAATCCCAAAAGGAGGAATGGAGAAGCTTTGGAAGACAATGTTGAAATTCAACAATATTGTGTGGATGCAATGGAACCCTTACGGTGGAGTGATGGACCGAATTCCTTCGACTGCCACTGCGTTTCCTCACCGGAAAGGGAACTTGTTCAAGATTCAATACTATACGACATGGCCGAACGCAAACGCCACAGAGGCTAGTCTAAGTCAAATGAGGGAGCTTTACGAGGTTGCCGAACCGTACGTGTCAAGTAACCCCAGAGAGGCGTTCTTTAACTACAGAGACATCGATGTTGGAAGCAATCCTAGTGGTGAGACAAACGTTGATGAAGCTATAATATATGGATCGAAGTATTTCTTGGGGAATTTGAAGAGATTGATGGACATTAAAGCCAAGTATGATCCTAAGAATTTCTTCAAGAACGAGCAGAGTATTCCTCCTGTTCGTGTAATATAGTAGTGTTACTCTTTTTATCAGATTTATTTATAAAGTGTAATAAGTTATGTGGTGTTATAAACACTACTTATATAGCCTATGTAATGTCGTTTTTCATTATTGTTCCATTTGCCTTATGATCATTTCATTTTGTTATATTTATTCATAACTCTATAAAGAATGTGTTATATAGCCTATGTAGTATGCACTGTCGGTTTTTATTATTGTTCCATTTGCCTTACCATTTTGTTATATTTATTCATTACTCAATGAAGAAAATCATGAATCGATGTTCCTTACATATTTGGATATATCGGTTTTACTTTTACGCTTTACGCTTTACGCGTTAATGATTTGAACCATGACCATGATAGTGCTTTCTAAAACCCGTTTAGTATAGGATTTAGAATTGTCAAAGTATAACCCGTTATAAGTTACACGTTTAAAACGGATAGCTCTTATCCTTAATGACATGCTTATATATTGGACAGTGCTTTGAAAACCTGTCCAACCCGGAATCGTCCACCTAGCGAAATCCGAATTGAACCAAAATCAGGAATTAAATTAAACCGTTAAAACCGGTTAAAAACTAGTGATCCGATTATATATATTAAACCCGATTTACAAAATTTGAGTCATAATTTTTGTTTGAGAACAAAGTTATTTAAATATCCAACTTTTAAAAACTGCCAAAAGTGCTCAAATTCTATCCTTAAACATTTAACTACCAAACATTTTTTTAATTGGTGATAACTTTGATAATTATCGCTGTTAGTTGGTAAGAAAAGTTTAACACACAAAAAAAAAAATAGAAATCCAAAGCCCTAATTGAATCCCAATTAAATATATATTTTTTATGTGCAAATTTTGTTTCATTTCATTCAAGTCCATTGGCCCATTACATGTTTAAAGCCCATATTTATCAATTTATCTGCTTTATGATTAGCAGAACGAGGGATATACTTAAACTTAGGCCTTGATTGGTATAGCTTTTCGATGAACAGTAGCATAATGCAGCATTAGCAGTAAGCAGCTGGAGCAGTATGCTTTGATTAATATACACATTTAGCTGATTGGCAGAGCAGTGAATAATTATATATAAAATTAACAGAAATTATTTTACTTTACTTATTTATATGTATTCTAATACATTATATATATTCGTCATAAGTTATAACATCAATTTTTATTTTTTTAATTAAATTATTATTTTATTATAATACTATTTAACAAATAATATGACAGATAGACTAATGGTATATATTAAGCTTTCATTTTAATATAAATATATTTATGAATAAAATTTTTAATATTTAAGTTATATTTTTATTAAAATTTATTTAAAAATAATAGAACATATAAAAAAATGATAAATATTAATATATATATATATATGTTTTATAATTACAGAAATTATAGAAATTATGTATATTTACTTTTATTGAAATTATTGTCTATATAATATTTATAAATTATAACGTAAATTTCTTTTATAATATTTTTGAATTTAAATTATATTTAATTGAATAAGTATTATATTATAATATTATCTTAATATAATAGAATAAATAAAATAATGATAAATATGAATTTAAATAATTAAAAGTTAATATAATTTGTTTTTGTTGTAATATTAAATAAATTGGTTAGTTATATAATTTTATTTTTAATTTTTGTAAAAATATTTAGATATCAATGCTCTGGAAAAACTTCATTTGAAAGTATTGAGGGAGGAGCATTTTGAGAGCATTTGCATTTATTAAATGCTCTACTTAATGCTCTGTCAACCAATCAAGTTTTAATGATAAAATGCATAATGCTCTTTAAAATGCTCTGCCAATCAAGCCCTTAACCACATTAATTTGTGTAGAACCCAATCGAATGTCGGCTAAGATGCCATGGATTTCTGATATCAGCGAGTCGCGATTGATGGCCTGAATCAACATCTGTAGAATTGCAGATCGTAACGCAATCGCTTCGGTAGCTAGAGCAGAGGCGATGTTGCATTCAAATCCAGAGTGTTCCAAGATGGAGGCAGAGGTCGACTCAAAGGTCTAACCTATTCTAGCCGTCCGAATTGACCATCCAAGCCGCATCGGTGAAGCAATTAGTAGATCCGTACGAATTGGATCGAGGATCTATCTTATGGGTCGATTGAGGTTTAGCAATCAAAGGCGGGAGGATCGACTGTGCCAAGAGCCATTCTTGAGCATCCTGAAAAGCTTTGTGGACGGTTTTCCTAACTGTGAAATCGTTGTTGTTAAAGATCTTTTGGTTGCGCGATATCCATGGAGCCCAGTAGATCCAGGGGGGAGGGCACCTTTGTCGATTCCTACCGGTGGCCTGGAGAAGAGCTGCTTTACTCGATCCAGGCCGGTTACAACATCTGTAACCCATGAGGAATCAAAGCCCTCTGACGTCGCTTCCTGCCATAACTATTTTTCAAAAGAATAGCAGAAGAGAATGTGAAGTATCGACTCGGAGCCCTGACATCTACAACATCTTGGTGTAGGCGTTGCATTTCTGATCATCAATTGTTCTCCGACATGCAATGTATCATGGAGGGCCTTTCACATGAATAGCTTGACCTTCGGTGAAGATTTCAGGGTCCATACTTGACCTTTTCAGTCCATATTCTTACTCGGGTTAGTTCTCTGATTCATGTCAGTTTCTTCGGCTGCAGCTATATAACCCGATTTCGTCGAGTATTCTCCAGATGGGTTTCTCAACCAAACCCTTTTATCTTTTGCTCCCAATAAGCTAGGTTTCAGAGTAAGGATCACTTGTTTATAGTATGGTAGAATCTGATATATTTTCTCCACATTCCAAGTAGCCCATTTTGGGTGAATTAAGTCACTCACCTTGACATCTTGAAGGTTCTCTGGAGCAAGCCCCATTGGATGTACTCTCTCCACTAAAGACAACCACGCATCTCTCCACAGGTTGATCTCTTTTCCATCACCAATTACCCATCTAAATTGTTGTTTTAGTAAATCTCTACTAGTAATTAAACTTCTCCACCCATATGATGCATATGATGGGACTGAGCATTCAAGGAATGGAGCATCCACACAGTATTTGCCAAGTCATTTCTTCTCCTTCTACTTTTCTATTTAATTCTTTCTCCGCTTTATACTTTAAAGCAACAGTGATTAAGAAAAGAAAAAAGTTGTTTGAGGCTTATGGAGAATAGCTCACTAAGCTAGATGGAGAATAACTCAGACCATCTCCATTGGCAGTCTCTTAAAAGAATATTTT